TAAATTAAACAATAATTAAAGTTAAAGTTACATCCTATATACGTCCTAATGCTGGGCACAGGCCTCTCCTCATTTCTGAGAGGGTTTTAGGGCAAGGAAACGTCCGCCCGGCTGCCCCAATACGTGTTGGCGGCGAATTTCACCTTTTTGAAATTTTTATTTTATTTCTCAGACATGCTGGTTTCCTCACGATGTTTTCCTTCATCGCCAAGCACGTGGTAAATCAGCACTTAAAATTGCAATTAACAATTTCATTGGTGCCGGCGGGAATCGAACCCGGGTTGCTCACGTACAGCTCATTAATAATTACTAAGAACTATAACCTAACATTTTCATACATTTATAATTTAATTTGTTTAATAAATATACTAAATTATAAGCTGTGTAAATCATTTTTAAGCAATAAGCATCTGTATATCGCTTATGTTTTCGACATATAAAACTCCGATATTGATATATTTATAATTATCGATATATTGAAAATCCGATATTTTAAAAATATCAACAGCCCTAGTTTGAACTGATCAGTTGGAATGATCAACTGAACTGACCGTGTGTGTCGAACTTGTTTTGGATTAAATCCGTTTGAAATGATCAGTTGAACCGATGTCAGTTTAACTGACCGTGTGTGGGGACCATATTACTAAATAGTATTGTATAACAATTGTTAAAATCGAATGTGACCATTTAAATATATGGTTTTTGGATACCTTAGGTATAGCTTTTTATAAGTCAACACCAAACATTAAATAATAAAACATATTTTGTAAATGCGTAATTGATTTTATTTGATTATATTTTTCTATACAAAAAAAATTCAGATTCTAACTCAACAGACAACGAAACACAATTGAAAGCACCATATTAAAATATTATAATTTGTGATTTTATTTACATGACAATTTTACAGTTTTTCTCCATTTTATCGAGATAGATTCATTAGCTGGTAACTCCCAGATACAAATGACGCTGGTGTAATGCTGGGGTCACAGTAACGAGAAACTTTCTATATAGTTTGTGCGAGAAACGTCAACAACTATTGCCTTAATTTTAATGCGAAAAGTTAGTGGCCACACTTGGAACGGTCAACGTAATTTCAATTTCAATGTCGTTGAACGGCATTAAAGTTGGCGTTAATGTTCCTTGAATATATTTTATTATATATAAATTCTTATTATATGAATATATTTTATCATATATTATATTATATTTATTTAAATGGGTTCTATAATAACCCATTATTAGGCTTTCCTTCTTCTTTTTAATTTCTTCGATAGTTGTTTTAAAAGGTAATAATTGCATTATTCGCGTCGCCAAGCATCATTTTGCGATGTACGATTCTTAAAACTTTTAAATCTAGGATCCCACAAACAAAGCTATGTTTGCAGAATCTCAAACGTAAAAATATTTTCATTATTCATATCCACTCCATAGCCATACATGCGATCCCGTTGCGCTCACCGAGCACAATGAGAAAAATGTAGTATGGCCGCTTCAACGCGTTAATTCGTGCGTTAATCTCTTTGATGTAACGCCACACAAGTTATCGCCCATTAACAATGCCGTTGTAAAATTATCGCGTTAAGTGGTGGCCACACCTACATTCAACGCCCATCAACGCGATAATTAACGGCATTTCTCGTTAGTGTAGCCCGGGTATAAGACATAGCAACCGGTAGGCGTGTTGCGTGCCTCACGCACACTCGCTTGTAAATACTGGCCAGTTTTTGTTGCATCGCTCATTGCGTGAGGCGTTATCTAGAAAGTAAATAATCTAAACCCCATACAATAATAACCTCGGGTCAACTTTTTCACAATAATTATATGACAAGGACACCTTCCGATTGCGTATCTTATAAATAATTTAAATAAAATCATTTTTAATTGGATTTAACAAATTCATAAGTACATAATAATAACTTCCTTATACATTCCTTATACAAGTAAATACTTAGTGTCATTTTGTTAATCACAGTTTGACGATAACTTAATTATTAATCTTGGATATTTTATACACATGTAAAAAAATACGATAATAATATAGAATAACAGAAAAGTTGCTATAATTTATTTATAATTGAGAGGAAATGATCTAATATAGATTAAGGTCTCTTTTCAAGGTAGTTTTAACTAAATTCAGGTAATTCTTTGCCGCAGGTACTGGCTAATTCAAACGAGAGATATAAGGTGATATTAGGCTTGCAAAGACATGGAAAACCCAGCATATATACAGTAATCTATGACCCAGCAATATCGATCCCATGATGTCGCTATTCTGCCGTGCTTGGGATAATGGCAGTAAGTGTATTTTTGGGCAAACTGAGTTAAATACAGATACCGAATCAGCATAATGAACTTTATAATATAGTCTGACGCTCGTTTTAATATCTCAGTGGGAACTTATAAATTTAATAATGATAAGAGCAGTATGATCTAAATTGTTAGAAAGCTTACTTATTAATACAGCAGTATGTATACTTACTAATGGTTTGTAAGTGTAGCGCTTACAATTACGTTATGAAATTGTCAATGATTATCACAGTGACTATACACACTAGTTACAATAAGCAAAGGTATCTGTTTCGAGTACATTATATATACAAATAAATAAAATTGGAGTGTCTGTTTGTAACGTCAAAACAACAGCTTTTCACTAAATGCATATCAAAGTATATATGGTACTTACAACAAAAACACAATTTTTAAAATTTTTGTCTGTCTGTCTGTCTGTATGTTTGTTCCGGCTAATCTCCGAAACGGCTGGACCGATTTTGATGGGACTTTCACTGTCAGACAGCTGATGTTATAAGGAATAACTTAGGCTAATTTTGTTTTAGAAAAATAATTAGTGTTCCGCGCAAAAATTAAAAAGCTAAATTACTCGCGGCGAAGTCGCTGGGAACAGCTAGTTTACTTATAATATCAGCAGCAAGTACAACTACGGCGTGTGAAATAAATAAAGTTATTTGTTTTGAATACAATAATTACTTATAAATAAATAGTAAGTATACATACTCCATGTATAATAAGTAAAAGCATTTATTTCGAGTGTATAATCTTTTAAAACCATCATAACAAAGGTATATATAAAGTCTGTAACGACACCATAAAAGTTATGAAACACAAAGCGAAGATTGCAAAAGTTTCAAAGTTCATAAATTGAAATATGTGGAAACTCGTAAATTATATAAAGATGACGCCGAAAAATCTGCCTATGAGCCACATACAGTTTACTACTCGATGGATTTACAAAAGGTGATTATGCTGCCTCGAATGGACCAATTTAAACGGACAATATTTTGCTCGCGTATAATTGCCTATAATGAAAGCTTCGTGCCTTTTGCAGCGGTTTGGCATGAAGCTATCTCAGGGCGAAAGCAAGAGGATATAATTTCTACATTAAAAGCATTTTTTATGAATAAACGGGATGCTGAACAAATAGTATTATGGATGGACAAGTTGTTCTTCCCAAAATAAAAACTGGACCATATTGAGTTTATTAGTGTATATTATTAATAGCGCACAAATAAAGGCAAACACTATTACCCTGAAGTACATTGAGCCCGGACATAGTTATATGTCCGGGGATAGCTTTCACCACCAGGTAGAACAGGCTTTACAAAGGAAAAATAAAGTCTACGACTTTGCAGATTTTGTTGATGCCGTGCGTGTGCGGGAAGACAATTTGGCTAAAAATATTGTAAAAGTAATGGAAGTCATTGATTTCTACAATTATATTGACCTGTCTTCACAAAACAAAAATGAATCAAGCGTATATCTAAAGGATATTGTGGTAATAACAGCAAAAAGGGGTGAGTTCACGCTCAAATATAAAAATAATCACAATGATATAAATGAAAAAAAAATTAGACTCTTCAAATAAAATATATAAAATCAAAGAAAATTCCTGAATTTATTAAAAATTCATCCCGAGGGGCGTATCGGAATCTACTGAAAATGGCATAAAACCTTTTGCAGCTGATGCCGGATATTAGAAAAAGAGTTTTGGCTAAACTTATTTGTTTCAGATGTATATAAATTGATTCCGATTAAGTTTACAAGACTGAAATATATATTTTATATGTTTATTTCTTTATTTTATTCATAAAAATTATGATTGAATGAAAAATATCTATGTTGAATTACGATTTTTTAACTAATAACGTAAGTAACTTTTGTACGATGGGTCCTTGCTATATTAAATCAGTATAAGCAGTATTATTATCAATACAATCCACACTCGCTACTAATAGTGTACTACATTAGTAGCGAGAGGCTACAAATTAAGTAAAATTTTTCGTTTTACATGTCACAAGCTAATATAAAGCATGTTGGAATTATTGGGTAAATAAAAGATTACACTATTACTTGAATTGAACTAGGATGAAATATTTTAATTCAGATTAAATGATAAACGTCGAAGACTAAAGTGCTAAATAATTAATGAAATTTATGCGTGCGTATTTTTCACATTTTAATATTTACCTACCTAACGTGATATTTATATTATATATTAATATCGTACAATAAGTAAACTTTCTCAAACATAACAAATGATTTTTTCTAATATAATTTTACAATACATTTAAATACCTGTTATAAAAATGAAGATACGAGTAATAAACTCACATAATGTTCCATATTCTTTGTAAAAAAATATGTCGATATTCTATATTAGCAAACAATATTTTCAAATATTAAAGTATTTGACTGGTTCTCTTCTCGCCCAAACGCCAAGTATAACCATTCAGAAACACAGATTTTTGGCACTATACCGCAATCATTTTAGTATTTAGCTTTTTTTTGTAAGAAATGTTGTATTTTAATAACGTTAAAGTATTGTTGAATTTTTTTACTTTCTAAGATATATTTCTATATTTATGACATACTACTACTATATACTAAGAGGAACAGTAAATAAACAAGTTTTTTTTTAATAGGAATGTGTTTAGAAATAACAGTGTTCGTACATATAGATTGACTACAATTTTTTTTTGTTTTCATAATAAACTAGGCGATGAACTTGTTTCTTCTTCGATTACATTTATCGAAGGTCTGCCTGTAAAAAGGAAATATAATACAGTATTGTATAAATTTAAAACTGTGTGGTTATTGCAAAAGGACTTATTGTAGTGTTTGTGGCACTACTAAATATAAAAACAAAAATGGTTGGGTGAGACTGTGATTCGCTCTTAAAATAGACTGCCATTACCTAGCTTTCAATTTCTCACTTTGTGGATAATTATCTTAGTTTTTTTTTTTTGAGAAACTATAGAATCGATTACTACATAGAGGGCAGACAGTGATTTCAAAAGTCGTGGGTTCAATTCCGCCGTTCGACTATTATCATGAACCATTCTTAAGTCAATAATTCTTTCTCTCTCTCTCTTATACACACACCCACACGCAGACATCTCCACACACGCACGCACGGAACTTTGGACACTACTGAAGTCAGTTTGCGATGTGTTTTATGCACGCTTGACAAAAGTACTTAACAGTCTTTTGTCGGGCGTTAATAAGACACACGCATATAACGGTTGGATCATGCCTGTTCTCATGTATACATTTGGCATACTCAGACCGAACTGAACGCTCTGGATAGAAAAGTCCGCACTATTATGACGTCCCACAGGATGCATCATCCGAGATCGTCGTTAATGAGGCTGTACTTGCCGCGGAAACATGGTGGGCGCGGCTTTTTAAGCGCGCTTACCATGCATAATCGCGAAGTGTGCAGCCTCCGTAATTACTTTCTGACGAGAGCGGATGATCCATTCTATAGGGACGTTATTTTTTGTGACAAAGGACTCACCCCTTTATCTTTAGCCAACGAGCAATGGCAAGACCCGGCAGTACAGAGCATTTCCGACCGGGAGACCGTATGGAAGGAGAAGGAGCTCCACGGGAGGTTCTACAAGGCTCTACATGAGCCTTTCGTAGACACAGTTGCCTCCCTCCACTGGCTACGTTTTGGTGACCTCTTCGGGGAAACCGAGGGTTTTGTCTGTGCAATACAGGATCAGGTTATTAAGACCAACAACTATCGGAGATACATCCTAAGGGATGGCACCGTCGACATTTGTCGAGCTTGTCGCCATCCCGGTGAATCACTTAGGCATGTCATCTTAAGTTGTTCGGCGCTTTCTAACTCTGAGTACTTGCATAGGCACAACCTAGTAGCCAGGATTCTACACCAGGAGCTCGCTCTGAAATACGGTCTCGTGGATCGGAGACTGCCTTATTATAAGTACTTGGCGGAAGCCGTGCTCGTAAATGACCGCGCCAGGCTCTACTGGGACCGGGCCTTCATCACAGACAGCCTGATATTGTGCTGATGGACCGGGCACAGTCAAGGATGTTTTTGGTCGACATTACCATTCCGTATGACGAGAGCCTCGTGAAAGCCGAAACAGATAAGCGAACAAAATATCTGGACCTGGCTCACGAGGTGACCGACATGTGGGGTGGACTGCCGGCCGAAATTATACCTGTAGTCGTTTCTGCGAACGGGTTAATCCCAGTCAGCCTCTCGGGTCATCTGAGGCGACTGGGACTCCGTGACGGACCGCTCCAAGCTTAAATGCAGAAGGCGGTGCTCCTCGATACCGCCCGCATCGTCCGCCGGTTTCTTTCCCTTTCCCCCTAACCCTCGGCCGTTTGGTCTCCCCTGCCGAGGGCTTCGATCTGGTTGGGTTTTTATTTATTTATGTATTTATTTTATTTTGTTGATATTTATGTATGGTTATCATTTTCATTTACAATTATATATTTATACAGCCCAACCAGATGAGTAAACTATATAGATGCCCCAAATAATAATAATAATAATAATAATAATATACAAACATCACACTGTAACTTTCGTATTTTAAATTAGAAACACACAATTACTTATTTAATTAGCAAACTAAATAAATATTAAATTTACTTTTACTTGGTGTCATAATAATTTGAAGAGTATTAACCGCTCGCTTTGCTAGCGTAAATTAAACTTTAGAAATAATTGTTAAAAAAAGTATTCTATAAACAATCCTACGACATAATCGACTTCTATGCGAATATTCATTAAAATCCATCCAGTTGCTTAAGCTCGACTGAATGCCAAACAGATAACCTTTCTATAATTATAAACACAGTAAGTACAGGGTTATTTTTCAAAGAGTAGCCAAATTTTAAAGTTAAGTTCAAAAATATAAATAATGATCTATATTGTTATTGCAGTTTTTGAAAATTCAAGTAAATGAGGCTTCAACTTTTATTTCAAATTATCCCAAATTGAATGTGATTATGGCAACAACGTTTTTGTCTATTGATCGACCCTTACGAATGTGTGCGTGCGCAGTAAAATCAGTTAAAATCATCACATCACCACGCATTTTGAATTTAAAAGATGATAGAATATTTGAGATTTTTTTTAAATTAATTTTTCTTCATCATATGCATATATTACTTATTCTGAACCTTCTTTGCAAATTTGGCCGGTTATTGCAAAATGAACCTGTATGTTTCATACATATATAAAATAATATCTTAATATTTACGGAACTCACTATCAGTAAGTTGAGCATCGGATGTTAACTTGGGCATCAATAATGTTAAAATGAGTCCCAGGACGGACGCACCACCGCACACCCATGACAACATATCTCGGTAGTAACTTGCACTTGCACCGTCAGCACTAGAAACATTATATTGTTTAATTGTTATAAAATAATCTATACAAGTAAATGAAATTGAAGTGTCTGTTTCTAATGTCAAAATAACTGCTTTTCACTAAATGCATATGAAAGTATATACGGCACTTATAACAAAATCACAATTATTAAATTTTTTTGTCTGTCTGTCTGTTTGTTCCGGCTAATCTCCGAAACGGCTGCACCGATTTTGATGAGACTTTCATTGGCAGACAGCTGATGTTATAAGGGAGGAACTTAGGCTACTTTTATTTAAGAAAAATAATTAGGGTTCCGCGCAAAAAATTAGAAGCCTAAATTATACGCGGGCGAAGTCATGGGGAACAGCTTATTAATACAAAATCATTGCTTTATTTCTGCGGACTTCAAAAAGGAGACGGTACTCAATTCGACTGTATGTTTTTTTATTTATTTTTTGTGTGTTACTTCATAACTTTTTACTGGGTGAACCGATTTCGATGAAACTTTTTTATTTGAAAGCTGGTACTTCACATGTGGTCTCATATAAATTTGATCAAGGTCAGATCAATAGTTTTTGAGTTATTCTTAATAATTTATTTGAAGTCGGCTGTACAAAATTATAAATTTTAAATTATTGTAAATCTGTTAGTAAACCTATAACTTCTGAACAACTTGACCAATTGAGGACCAATTCACAATAATTATGCTCACGGAACAAATATAAAGAGGAGACGGCCTAAGCAACTGTGCACTGTGATTCTAACTAGGTTCTGACGTCATCACAGTGGGCGTGGCTTGAGTTAGTATACTGTCAACGTTCGTCCTGTGCGCTTGTAAGTGGCGAAGCTAGGGCTCCAAACTAGGTCAAGCCCAAGATATGTTTGTCTTGTTTTTAGCAGTTTTATAAAAATTTACCATTTCTCTTTTTCGATTTTACCTTTTCCTCGCCGTTTAGCACTTTAATACATTTCAATTCATCACAAGAAATATCATATTACTCCAAATTATCCTCCATTTCCACTAAAAATCTATAAAAAAAGTATAAATATCCAACTCAATATTGCGAATTTCATTCGTTCAAGTAAACACACAGAGTAAACATTGGAATGTGAAGTTGTGAAGTGAACTTTGCAAACGCACGCCCCCACGCTCGACAACTTCATACTGAAAGCCTGGCTTCTGATCTCCATACTGATTGCTATATAAATAATCGTAGTTATATTTCATTATAGAACATTTTGCCACAGGTTAGAAAGGCAGCGATCGTCTTCTCGAAAGCCCGGTAAAAAGCCCACGCGTGCGAGAGAGACGACTAATCGTCAAGCTCGCGTGTTCAGTTTGAGACAGAGAACATGAATCAGTGTATTTCGAATTCAAAGTAATCTGCCAAGTGTTGATGTTACATAATAAGGCTACGAGGTCACGACCTGTGTAGAACAAAGGAGCGCTTTGAAACAGTTTAAGAGTTATTTTATTAGTCGATAATATAGGGCAAGCCCGGCTTCTCCGCTTGTATGGGAGCTTCGCTACCGGCGCCTATGTGTTGAAAATTGCAAATCCGTGTATTTTCGTAATATTAAGAAGAAAAGGATGACGCTCTGATGCTATGGATTGCATCACATTTCATTTGTAAGTAATTTTATACCTAACTTATTAGAATAATTGTAGAAAAATCTCTGCGTCGGCTTTCAAATTTAATTAAATATATTCGACACTAGATAGCGACACTTTGTGTCATGGGAACAAAAAATATAAAGGTACGTAGAGCTCAGTACTGGTAAAATAATTATACGAAGGTGCTGAAATTTGTTTTGCATTCAGTCCTAAAGAATTTTCATATGTAATCGCCAAAATATTATATTTATAATCATTTTGTGAACAGACCGCCATCTATAGTCAATGTAGCTAAACTACATAGCAACATCCTTATTGAACGATGCGAGTAGTTTTACTACTTATCGGTAGGTGGAAAATAGTTATGTGGGCGGGCACACACTCAACCCCGAAAATTGTCACGCGTTTCTACATAGTGAAATCTAATTACAACTCTTTGTATTTACTCCGTGGTTATGCTAGTATCCGATACCGATATATCTAGTAGTCATAACATATCCTATATTTATGGAGGAAAGACTCATATTTACAACTAGCGACTCGCACCGGTTTCGTCTAGATAGAATCTATAGATACACACACTATATAGACCAAATTTTTAGTTATTTTTTCAAAGGAATCTTAAATTTTTCTGATAAAATATAGCCTAGATCCCTCCTGACATAAAAAAGGTAAAAGTCACAGTACAACAAAATTATATTCATGGATACCTACGCGAAAATATGGCTTGTTCGGTATTCATACTATTAACAAAAAAGTCAAAGTCGCATTGTACGAGGGGAGGTCAAAAGGTACGACGAGAGGTCAAAAGGTATGCGGAATAACAGAGAAGGATAATGAAATATTAAACTATTTTTCCTTTACAATATATTCTTCCTAAACCCTAATACATGTATTAGGTCTGTCAAATCACTTATTACTACCGTCTAAAAAAAAAGATTTGTCTTGGGCTTCAAAATATGCCGAAATTGCCGACTTCACTTCATCATCAGGGTGTGCCTTTTTATGCCGCTGCATCGACTCTTGCTTTGACTCATGAACACTTGTTACAATTCGGGTCATAACTTCCTCCCTTTGTTCTCCACAGCGGTCCAAAAACTCGCGACAACTTTCAACGCGCTCGTGTTTTTGATGCGCAGAAAGCATTCTCGGAACCCATCTCGCATAGACCTTAGTCATGCCAAGGTGTTGATATAGGATATTTAAAATGGTTGTTTCTGATACTTCAACTAATGCTGCAAGCTTTTTTTGCTTTAGCGGGGTATCTTCCCATACAAGTTTTTCAACTTTTTCGATAAATTCTGGCGTGGTAGCCTCAATCGCCGTCCAGGTCGGAGGTCATCTTCAATGGAGTACCTTCCTTGTTTGAAAAGGACGTGCCATTTAATTATGGTTTTCCCAGGAGCGGAGTCCCTATAAACAGCTGACATCTCTTGAAAGATGGTTTGAGGTGTCTTTCCTTGTTTGGTGAGCAACTTAATGACGGCGCGATATTTAATTTTCTACATAGTGGCTAGTTTCTTCCCGATTAACTTGTTTACTCGTTGATAACTCAAAAGCTAATGACCGGATTAGGCTGAAACTTGGTATATATACTAACAATGAGTCACTCAACTAGCGTCTATCTGGATGAGTAAATTCACCCTCGCCAACCCCGCCATTCCGCGAACTTTTTGCCCTGCCCTCTTACATTCAATTATTCAATGTGGTAAGCACTCGTTTGCATAAATTTTTCCTCGAATTAATGTATTCAATAAAAACAATTCATTTTTAAAATAAATCATACGTATTCTGATTACAGATGTAGTATTTTTAGTTTCTAATGGCACAATTCTGCTTTTTCACCTTTTTCACTGATAAATATAAATGTTTAACCTAGTCTGGACACGCGAAGAAGGTACACTTGCGTTATCTATTTAAATCTATATTTGTAGTGGTATCTATTTAAATGTATGTCTGTCGTTTTCATGCTATGAACAACATCCATTGCTTGTTTTGCATGCCTCTTAATTTTGAGTTTGCGATGCGTGAATACAACAGACAGTTGTTGTTTTTACGCAGTATCATGGTGCAGCTGTATGTTGCTTCGGCAAGCTGTCAAAATTACGTCCTCTTTGCGCAATGTAAAATATGTTAGGCGAGAGTTGATAAATATTATGAAAACGGCTTGCAATAGCGACTGTCGCTTTAGTACCGCGATCTGTGTGACGAACGCCTCCGCAGGGACATATTTTTGTAGTACGTGACTCACAGCTGTTGTCAAGCGCGAGACCAGGCGGGCAGGCCGACGCGGCGGCCATTTATTTGCAAAAATAATTAGCTAGCCGCAATTTGTAATGAGTTTAGGAAGCCTACTTTTTTATCAATTCTCGTCGAACAGAGTTTAGTACAAGACAAATTCACGATTGTAGTTTTCATCGAACTTTTTTTTTATCGAGATTTATTAATTTCAAATTCATTTTTCTTATATCAGTTTTGAAGTATCACTTTATTTGTAACTAGCGAACCGCACTGGCTTGTAGCTTCGCGTATGTAGCCTATGCCACATTCATAGACCCTTAATTAAAAATTTCGTTTATTTTTTAAATTTTTCGGATAAATTATTGGCTAAGAATCTCCTGGCATTACTCTCTATCTGATTGTGAAATTTCATTAAAATATCAACCATTCCGAAGATTAGCCTGGACAGACAGACAAAATTTAAAAATGGTTATTTACGTCTTAAAAGCATGCAAATAACCCCTTGAGATTAATAGAAGCCAGTTGTTTCAATATTACAGACAGACACTTGAATTTTATTTATATCTACGTGGTAGAGCCATGTACAGCTATATTATAGTTGTAGCTCGAATGGATCGGCTCGAACGAGCAAGGACCGCGCTCTCACAGAATATCAGTGTAAAATAGCAGCTTAATGCTGCTGTGTTTCGTATGGTGAGTGTAGAAAACCGGAGACCCTTTTTTCTGGAAACGAGGCATTCCATCTTAGTCGTCAGGGGTGGCGACACATGCATTTTGATTTTTATTTGAGGATAAATGTAGTTGTCTATGGGACTTAGCATCCACTTACCATCAGGTGGGCTGTGTTCGATTGTCACCCTTATTCTACAAAAAAATCTATAGTATAGATATTTTAACATTGATGACAGCGTCTATGAGAGCACAAATACTTAATGGAGACATTTTGAACTCTGAATACTTCTCTTATTTCGTAGACATCATTAAATCATTAATAAAACTTTTTTGTGTGTGGTGTGTTAGGGTTCATATACAACATGTAACAAAAACCCTGTGGTTCCCGTTAAGTACGTTATCAGGATCATTATTCAAACGTATAGAAATAACTTTATTTTAAAAACTCGACCATTTTATTTAATTTTTTTTTTTTCATTTTATGTGCTTTTATTACCTCTTACTGACACTAGCCTATGCTAAAGCTAAGTAAAGCGGGGTCTTTGGCAATCCTCTTACTCCCCAGACAATGGAGAAGTGTAATAAAACCACATACAATTTGCATACAATTTTTATTTAAATAAAATAAAAATATTGTTCGTTTTAAAAAAAAAAGTTATTTCTATACGTTTGAATAATGATCCTGATAACGTAATTAACGGGAACCACAGGGTTTCTGATACATATTGTATACTTCGTCAATTGAAACTACGTCATTATGTTTTAGATGTATAACTGAATGTGTATGTTGTATAAATGTACCAAGTAGAAATCGTTAAATGCAAGATTTGTACTTTGTTACACAATTCTAAAAAGACCCGCGCGAAGTCGGAGCAGGTCTCTAGAACACATTTTTATCCGAATGGACGGGCTATATTCGGAAAGCTTAAATGATATTTTCGATAATCTTTATAAACTTACTAACTGTGCTCCGCGGTTTCACCCGTGTCATCATGTGCCCGAGGTGCGCAACATGACCTAGTTCAAGCATTTTATAACGGCTAGGGTTTAAGCGTCGTTCGCGCGCCCATCCAAGTATTGAATTATTTTAATTTTACATTATCTCTTAAACTATGCGTCCAAATAACATGGTATAAAGAACAAAGTTTATCTTCATAAAATTGTCTTGATGATGAAGTAACTTTCGTTCGTAAGGATAAATAGGCCCTGCCTAATAATAACGCTCATAAATCACTTTTAAATTTTCAATATTTTTTTATCACAAAATACCAAATTATGGCTTATGTATAAGAAATAGACATATGGTATCCCGGACTTTTTTTTAGACGGAGTAAAGGTCTATATTTTTCTAGAACATTGTATTTACGTATCCCTAACGATAACACCAGCGTACGCGAATAAATAATTTCGGGAGTGCTTTTTCTTCTGACTTGCTTAACAAATATCCATATTTAAGGCTAGCTGAGTAATACAGCTTAATGCTAGATAGCCTATACTATTCCACATGAATCTGGCTATAATATACAAAAATATTTTTTTTAAATCGGACTGGTAGTTCCACAGATTAGCGCGTTTAAACAAACAAAAAAACTTTTCCGCTTTATTATATTATTATAGTATATAGATTTCAACGCCCAGCATCCCTAGCTACCGAGCGTGGGATTGACTTGTGGGCGCGTAAATGAATACGATATTGATATGTTTTTGTCTTTATTACGTGTTGTCTTTTTTGAGTGCGTGTGTTGTGAAAATTTTGTTCTTGGTAGTATCGATATCGAATTCCATGTACACGGTGAAACATACTTATTTTTAGGTAGGTAGTTCTGATATCTGATATATTTGATGAAGAAGAATGTATTTTCAGTTTACTTACTACATCTGTATTATAGCGATAGCTGCTCCACATGAAAGTTTGTCAGTAAAGCTCATAAGACCGTAGACAAATGCTGAAGCCTCAGTTTTGTCACCGACTAGGTCCGCCGTTAGAGCGAGGCTTGTGACAAGCATTTGAGATCCGCCAAAACCTTAAAATTAACACGATATAGTATAAGAAACATGTCCTTTAATAAAAGTAAACAATATGTATACATTCTAAAGTTAAAGTTGGAAACAACTTGTAACTGCATCAGAAATACAACAAATAAATATTGCTTATATTGCAATTTTTATTTTAGTTACACATAAGTAGAAGTCGAAAAACATCACATTTATTTTCAGAATTTATGCTTAAATGATAATTATAATTGCATGGCTCTCAAGTATTCACAACTATAATTTATTGATTACAGGAAACATATGTGAGGTCTATGTTCAGCAGTGGAATCGTGAATAGCTGTGATGAATGATGGAAATAACAGTACAGAATTAATAAATAATAAACTAGACTTAAATTATTTAAGGTAGATTTTACTTTTGATTGTCACTTAAGAACTTAAGGCAGATTTATAAACTCATGAACAAATTTAGAAGAATACCAAAAAAAAAAAAAGATTTAATTTCTTCTGTTGTAATTATTGTACATACTGGCCACAAACATAAGCAAAGGCTATTAAAAAAACAAAGTTTTGCAATGTTTTTTTTTCGAATTTCATTTGCTTTTGTGTTGCGTTCTTTCATACTGCGAAATTTTTTGTCTTTTATAAGAGATAGATTTGTTCTTATGCATGATAATGCAGGCCCCCATACTGCGGCTGTAGTTGTCGAATACCTCAAGGCGTTGAAATCGATGCTGTGGGGTAGTAACTTTTGTCATTTGATGGTTTTTTTTTTCGACGTTTGCATAGTCAATATGCAAAATCCCAATTAAGAAACTTAATTGTCACAAATATCCATGATATTTTGTATTATATTTCATTTTTTGCGTTTCTCTAAATTTGTCCATGAGTATATATACAGTGGTGGTCGTATAATTAGAAACACTACCAACGGTCCGTGACTTTATGTAAGATACTTCACAGCAATCGTTTTCATTTTGAAATTAAACAACAAATAGGACAACAATAGGTTCAACGATTTATCATTTATTAGAAAAACATTTAAATCAGTTTTAAGGTATGAACATTAATGGTCAACTCATTAGAAACAACGACAAAAAAGTATAAAAAGCAATAGTTTTTTAAGCATTAGTAATTAGTATTGTTATTTACGAAATAGCTACTATCCACAGCCTACCAATAGTTATAATTAATATTCATAATTCATAATTCATTTATTGAATGTCACAAAGTATAAAGTTGTTACAATATATCTACAGAGCATGTGACAACCCTGTACGGGCGTAGCATATTAATATGGATTCTAATTGTTAATTAATATAAAATTACAATTTTTAAGGTACATAATCTATACATTATTATTAATTTATTTATTAAATATCAAACCAAATAATACACACATTTATTTAAAATGAAATGTCAATAAATATTTCATCTTAACTATTGGTCATTTTAATTCATGTAAATAAGATTTAAAACTTTGGTGAAAATATTAATAATGTCATTTAAGTAAATAGGAATAATAAATTTTGTCAAAATAATTTAAATTTATAATTTGTCATTAAAATATTCATCCAAATTATGATAGCTTTTTACAATAAGCATTTTCTTAAGGCGACACCGCGAAAAAATGCACCTCCTTTCATCGCATAGTATAGGAGTATGACACGACTAACGAAACTGGAATTTTGACATAGGTAAATTCATCTCTTTATCTTGAATTTGCTTGCTCAAAAACACGATTGTAAAATTTTGACTCGATCATAATTGTTTGCGAAAACACCTCTAAAAAATCACTATAGTTGAAAATACAACGAAATTATTTAATCTATATGCTTGGAAACCACTCAAATACATTCATAACATCAATATTCGTGATTTACTTGCTCATTATTTTGATTACTAAAATCAATAATTTTTAAAAAATATTTTAAGGTTCTAAGCGATTTCTAAGCGGTCTGGATCGTTGCGGGCACTACGCAATTTTAGACCTTATGATGGCGCTTTTGAAGTTTTTATAGAAATTATGTTTCACTCTGGTTAGTGCGGCGATAGCCCGCTTCAACGGTTTTCGATGTGTCGCCTTAAGTACTATTTCAAATTTACGACACTGGAGGGCTTTTATATTATTAAGTAAATGGTTGTAAACCATTATAGCAGCCATGTAGTAGGTATTTAGTGGCGTATCCGTATATTTTCAATAACAGCACTGCAACGACGTGGCATTTAATCAATCAATTTCATATATTTTTCTAGGGAGATTGAATTCCATGCTTCATATAGTTCGTTTTGATTGGTGTTATTTGTTTGAGACTTTCTTTTTAACAATATACCAGAGATTTTCTATCGGGTTTAAATCCGGATTATTTGCTGGCCAGTTAAAAACGGATATACGCTGTTCGCTAAGGAAACATTTGACGCTATTGGTCGTGTGTTTAGGGTCATTGTCATGCTGAAAGATCCAGGTTACAGGCAAATGATCGTACGAGTAGGGAATCATTCTGTGATCTAAGATATTTTTGTATTGCCATTGATCCATTGTACGTTCAATCTTCCGAACGGGTCCAACTCCACATCCGGAAAAACACCCCCAAACTTAAATGTTACCGCCACCGTGCTAGACTATACTCCTTGTGTATTTATAATTAAAAGCATTGTTTACAGGACGTCTAACATAGCGCGTTTAATCGGAATTTACCATATTTAATTTTGTTTAATACTGAAAATAACACTTTTTTCCATTCTCGTACCGTCCAATTAACATAATTATTTTTTAGCGAATAATAATCGCTTCTCTCGGTGTTGCTTGGTAAGAAGCGGTACCTTTCGAGAGATTCTTCCAAACAATTTAGCTTCCACTAATCTTTGGCGTATCAGTCTTGAGATGTTTCTCGGGTCATCAGGCGAAAAAAAGTCATTTTTAATCTGGTTGGAACCTTTACTTGGGTCTTTTCTTAGCAACACGAACGATTACCGTATCTTCTCCGGGAGAGGTTTTTCTTGGTGGAGCTTTTCTAAGAACATTTTCAACAGTTCCATGTGTTTTATAATGATCAATCGCATTAAAAACTTTCTTAACAGAACAATTTAAATACTCAGCTATTTTTCTGTACGCCCACTTATGATCTATATGTAAATTAACAATTATTTGCCTAGTTGACGCGTCACAGCTTTTAATTTTTCCCATTTTGAACAAAATAAAATTCTGCTTAATAAAACTTTGATTTGCCGCCAAAGTAATAGAAAAAGCCAAGAATGTCTTTTTAAAATGTTTCTAATTAGGCGTCCAAGCGACCAGTAACAGAAAATATACTCCTACATGCGTAAGACTCATTTTGTAAAAATAAGATACGTTTTATATTTTATGCATTTAATGGGTTTTTTATTTGAGTGGCTATATTATTGTATGATTATTAATTATTGAATGCGTATATTTTTTACGGACATTTGTACGTTGAAGTTATACTTTCTTTATTCATAAGAAGTGTTTCTAATTATATGATCACCACTATATCTATCTCTCTCTCTCTCTCTTTCTCTCTCTCTCTCTCTCTCTATATATATATATATATATATATATATATATATATATATATATATATATACATACATACATACATATATATCTTTATATATAAAAATTACGTGTCACGTTGTTTGTCCGCGATGAACTCCTAAACTACTGAACTGATTTCAATGAAATTTTGCACACTCTGTGCAGTTTGGTCCAACTTGAGAGATAGGATGGTTTTCATCCTGATAAGTGGCACTCAATATTTTTTTATTACGAATTTAAGCATTTTTTATATGAAGGGTCGTCGAAAAAGGCAGAACAACGTCTGCCTGGTCAGCTAGTAAATATATATAATGTATTAGTTTCGTCACTATCGGTTAAGCCATTCCGAAAATTATCTCAGACAGACAGACTAAAATTTTAAAAGTAGTTATTTTTCTTATTATTATGTAAACAAATCCGTGAGCTTAATAGAAACCAGTAAGGATTTCGATATTGTAAACAGACACGTAAATTTCATTTACACGTGTAGTTAAAAATGTTATCATAGTAAATATTTGAACACCTCATTAAATTGTATGAAAATAAGTATCTATTATATTATCTGAAATGAATACTAACCTATTAACACTGCAACAACGTAAATATAATATACTTTGTAGTTATAATCGGAATCGAGGTAAATCCATGTAAAACCAATAAGTGAGCAAATGGATCCAACAAAATAGTTTAGTTTTCGGGTGAAAGATCTTGGAGCTAACCTCTGTGCTCCAGCAGATAATAAGCTCCCCAGATACATGGCTAAAGGGATCACGGCAAGCGACCGAGCTGCTAAGCTTAACGTTTTATGTAAGTACAGAGGAATTAGTACTTGAGTAATGTTGACAACAATTCTAGTGCTCATATATACCCCCGCCACCTGGAAATAAAAAAGATAAACTAAATGTAACCCATTCATACTTGATAGATTGTCTGGCCTCCCTGCTGTTATAAATAAAATTTTAATTAATGTCTTAGCAAGTCCTTTACGTGATTAGCAAATTATTAATTAGTGAGGCAAACTCTATCGAAATACTCGTATATATACCATTGAGCTATTAATGTAGTACATATTAATATAATATATAATTGAGATATAATTATCACTATCATCATTACAGCCTGTCAAAGTCCACTGCTGAACATAGGCCTTCCCATAAGTTGCCTCATAATATCCCCCATATTCACCAGTTGCCATGCTAGACAGGCAGGTTGGCAGCCGCAGTTTATTATTTCTAGTTGTTATTAGGAAGAACCCTCCTCCCATCTCCTGGTTTGGTCTCCCTGTCGCCTCTTACGCCATCCTCGGGACGATATGGGCAGTGGATATTCTTACAACGCCACTACACAGACGGTCCGTACCATTGAGTTATATGTATTATACCGTAAAATGGTCGTGAATAGACACAACTTTCAACTTCTACACTGTTTTTCTTACATATGTTGTATATAAGCTGATAATAAAACACTTCAATGTTGTGAGTCTTGTTGTAGTATATCGAATACTAATGCTTCAAACGAGTAAAAACATGAAAGTTCGTTATATTATAGAAAAAAGTAGTCTGTTTCTATATACCGGGGATCCGGGGTTAATAGATACGACATAGGAGGGGTGAATAGAGAAAAAATGCTAAGGTTGTCAAATTTGCTTTTGTTGTGAGCTTGTGAGACAAATGAAAGGAAATATAACTACATCAAAATTGTCATTATAAAAAATAATTAGTTAATAAATCTGATACTTATACAATTCCATATTATATAAATGAAAAATATCAGAGTAATGTAATTTAACTGCATTGCAGCGTAAGCATTTCCGACATAAAGCCATTACATAAATAAGCCACTGCTAACTACGTAATAGTTTTGAACATACTTTTTTAAGTAATGAAAATAAATATAAAAAAATGTTTAAAAGTTTGTTAAACTATATAACACTAATTATAATACTACGTGTTTTGATTAATAACCTTTGGTTATTTTAAGTTGTAGGTAACAAGACGAGATTAAAAATCACTATTACTTATTTATAAAATTATGTAAGCACTAAACATAAATGTTAATTGACATAATATCGGGATTTGAAGCTGATAACTCGCGTCACACCTATTCCGCACCGCTTAGATACTTTTTTAACTCTTATACCGAGCGTCTCTGTTAAACAGAACATTTAAATCAAAGTTAAAATGGTGCCAAAACAGGCAAGAGCAATTACAAATGGATTTACTTGCTTCAAATCATTCGGCTAAAAATTTCAAAAATTTCTGGAAGAACACCAATAAATTGAATGTAAAACCTACGCTTCCTGTGAGTGTCGGCGGCGTCCACGATCATAAGATGATTGCCAATTTATTCAGCGAGCATTTTAGTGTTCAGTCGTCCTCGGATCCAGTTTCTTGTAGTGTAAATGATGCTGCGACCATTGTAACGGAAAGTAAGGTGTCCTTCTCAGCAAAGCATGTATCGACAGTTATAAAAAACATGAAGAGGGGCAAATCGCCCGGTCACGATGGTCTCAGCATTGAACATTTTAAGTATGCTGGGGTGCACCTACCGCGCGTACTCGCGATGTTCTTTAATTTATGTCTATGTCACTCTTACCTACCTGAGGCGCACTATTGTGGTACCGATCCTTAAAAATAAGACTGGTGACACTTCTGATAAAAATAATTATCGGCCTATCTCACTTGCTACAACAACAGCTAAGTTACTTGACAGTCTGTTGAATAGCAATCTCGAAAAACATGTGAAGCTGCATGATGCCCAGTTCGGGTTTAGAGCCGGATTATCTACCGAGAGTGCTATTCTGAGCTTGAAACATACAGTAAACTATTATACGAAGAGAAGGACTCCAGTATACGCTTGCTTCCTCGAACTGTCAAAAGCCTTTGATCGCGTAATTTATGACCGCTTATGGGAGAAGTTGGGGAGTGCGGGTGTGCCGATGGAGTGCATCTCCCTCCTCAAATTTTGGTATTCAAACCAGAAAAATCAAGTGAGATGGGCTGGTACGCTTTCGAATGAATATAGATAGCAATGTGGTGTAAGACAGGGAGGGTTAAGCTCGCCTCTATTGTTTAATTTGTATGTCAATCAGCTTATTGAGCGACTCAGTAGTACTCATGTCGGCTGTCATATTAACGATATCTGCTTCAATAATATAAGCTATGCTGACGACATGGTGCTGCTGAGTCCCTCAATCAATGCACTGAGGACTTTATTGTCAACTAGCTGTGCCCGCGGCGTAGCTCGCGTATAGAGGTTTTACATAAAGAATTTGTCGTTTAGGTAAGAGAATATTAAACGTTTGATTTCATTACTGTATCAATAAGTGGTAACTAAATAAATCATTATCATCAAAGTTCTAAGTCGTTTATGATAGAGCTTCTGTGTAAACGACGTTAAAAGTAGGCTTCGCCGGGGTATACACAAAAAGGTTACGGGGGCTACTAACGCGGGAAAAAGCAACATAGAGTTGGCCATGTGCAAAACAGTCAGTACTGAGGTACACTCCTACAAAGCGTAAAGTTTGACCTTGCGCTTTATTTACGGTCATCGCATAACACACGCTCACTATAACTGGGAACTGAACGCGCTTAAAACTGAATGGAAAGTTACTTCTTAATAGAGGGTTTTTGGGCAGTGCTGCCAGATAAAAAAAACTCATTCAGCTCTAGGACAACACAAAAAGCGCTAGATTTCATGAAAACAGCGCTTTAAAACAGCCCTAGATTTCGCGCTAAATTAACTACAAACAAAGTTTGTGTTTTTTTATATAATCATAATAAAGAAAACAACATTAAGTTTTTTTTCTGGCAATATTTTTTTGATGTATCAATACTTCGCAGGACATTGACTTATAATTATGGCAATTGCTGTCAACAGTAGTTAGTACTGTACGAACAATAAAAATGTCATTAATTGTTTTAAAGTGCAATGTATTTCGCAACTTAGTTTCAGATGTCAGCATCTGATTGCGGTTGCTACACAGTTTCTTTATGTTATAACTTCTAAGTAACTTTTAACTTAGCTGTGCTCTAAGCAACTGACTGAAACTGAATAAAGCAAAATAAATGCGTTGCCAGAACCATGAACGAAAACTTTAATAAAGGGGATTTCCCCGCTTATAGTCGTCGGTAAAAAAATCAAGTAGATCATCCTAAAGGGGAAGCCAGGAGATCCATAGCACAGGGTATCCTAGTTTGGACTCGTCTCCCATACTCTTTGTTTTGTGGAAAAAATATGTTTGAAAAAGATAAACTGCAATGTACTATTTGTGGGAAAAAATAATAAAGGCCATTATTATTATTATCGGTAATGTGGACTAACAGTGCTGCTATAAAAGAGTTAATAACCCGCTAGTCGCTAAAATATTGAAATGTGTGCTAAATACACCAAAAAGCGCTGGATTAAGCTAGGTGCTAAAATTTCGAAATGCGCGCTATACATTCCAAAAAAGCGCTAAATCTAGTTCCCAAAGCGCTAAAATGGCAGTACTGATTTTGCGTATATTATAAATACAATATCACGACATTTCGTTGCAAATTTTTTATTTTTGGTGGGGTTCCGTTGTATGGCTTCGATGGATACAAATTTCTTCAGTAAGTCTCAATACGATTCATCGGCGAAAAATCTCAACACAGCAATTCAGAAAAGTTTGTAATTTGTACCACTCCATCTATTACGTCCTTTGTGTGAGAAAACATCCTTTTTAAATCTCTTATTGTGTTTTAAGTATAAATATATTAATTATTATGGAATGTTTTTTTTACACATAAATCTTTTTATTACTATTTCTGAGATTTTATGGCGCCATTGAACAAATTCGAACCTACATTTCAAAATAATAATCATTACTTTCGATAGAATTAACAAATTTTAATAAAACAAAGATTAAATGTAACTCGAAGATACGCTTTATGATTTTCTTAACGATTTCTTTGAAAATAAAAGATGTTTACTTTAGACGTGATGCGTTCATATAATAACAGACAAATAGACAGACAGACAATTCTAAAAATTATAAAGTGTTCTTATTTAATTATTTTCAGTTCCCCATAATGATTTTAGCCACCAAAATATATATACAATGTACAGAAAGAGACACAACATGTTATCATCATTTTTATTATATGTATATATTTAAAGAGAGATGGCGCTGCTAACATCAATTCTAAAAATAAAAGAGATTAACTGACGCGATTGATACATTATATAAAACGCAAGAGAACTTATAAATCAGTGCCTGCACAGTAAGCAACAAAAAAAGTTTGACTCTCGCCAAAACCAACGCAATTGTTAATAGCTCTTTTAAAATTTGATTTACCACATAGAGTACTCGGCGGTAAAGAATAAATTGAGTTTGTCAACACGCAGTAGGGCAGCGAGTAATATAATAAAAATTAGCAATAAATATGAAAACTCATCTACTGGAAAAAACCACATTGCAATTGCATTCCATTTTCACAACACCACCATCTATCGAAGAAACGGGTTAACTATTGTGCTTCAGATTTAGTTAATAAGGTTAATATATTTTTGTATAATATATTTAATACGTTCTTTAATACTTTTGTTTACTGCGTTTTAGATATACATAATTATATCATTATTTTACATAATTTAACTATGATTTATGTGCATTTTAAACTAATATCATAATATGATATTAGTTTAAAATGCACTTGATGACTCAAACAAAGCCACCGTTGAGCAAATTCGTACCTATACTTCCCTACCCATACTTCAGAATATTTATCATAACTTTTGATGGAATGAACTGATTTTAATGAAATAAAGACTAAATGTAACCCGAAGATACACTTTATAATTTCCTTAACAATTCTTATGATATAAATTAGTACTTTATACGTGATACGTTAA